TGGCGGACCAATTACTCAAGAAACCTCTAGACATCATCAATGATGCTTTGGTAAAAGTCGGAAGATTTATCTTCCCCGCCGACTTTGTAGGACTAGACATGAAAGAAGGGCCAACCTCCATCATTCTCGGAAGACCATTCTTAGCCGCCGGAGGAGCACAAATCGATGTCAAAGGAGGTAAAATCATTTTCCGTCTTGATAAAGAAACACATGAATTCTCTATGAGAGAATGCATTGATGGGGATGAAGGGGGACAAACAAAAAATGAGGATGCATATGAGGACGTACTCGAGATCGCACCGGTGGACAACAAAGAAAAGAGGCACAATGATCAGATTCTACCCAAGAAAAGGAGGTAAGGGTCAGATTGATACTCAAAGTTGTATAAAAAGGGTCAAATAAGTCCTTATATAGGAGGCTCTGTCAGGCCGTCGTCAATTCGGATGGTTCCTGGTGGAATTTTTTGATAAATTTTTTTGAACATCTTATTCATTAAGTCTAGTTTATTCATACCAAATTTCAGCTAAAAATTCATCCGATAAGACATTCAAAAGAATTTTTGAAGGTAGCTGCGCAGTTAAAAGCGCAGTTATCTTCAAGAATTCATTTGAATGTCTTCCCGATTGAAGTTTTAGCTGAAATTTGATATGAGTAAACTAGACTTAATTAATAAGATGCTCAAAAAATTTCATCAAAAAAATCCACCGGGAACCGCCTCAAATGGCGATGGCCGGACAGTAAGGACTTATTTGACCCTTTTTATGCAACTTCGAGTACCAATCTGATCCTTACCTCCCAAGAAAAGCACCTCATCCACCGCCTTAAAAGAGGTTCGTTCGTCCGGCCTATGACGTTAAACTAAGCGCTAATTGGGAGACAATCCAACAAAATAAAGAATAAAAAAGAAAAAGAAAAGAAAAGAAAAGAAAAGAAAAAATCACCATCTCAACTTAGGTATCATGCATTTCCTACTCTGAAAGATGTCTCATTCCGCTATTGAATATTTCATCCTTCATTGCATCTTCCAATCTACATTGCGGATAATATAAATCAAGTGTGGGGGGGGGGGGGGAATAATAGTTGATAAATTTTTTCTTTGATTTTTTTTCTAGGAAGGTTATACATTTTGATTAGAAAGATTTGGTTGAGAAAGATTTCTTTTACTCACAAAGTTTGGGGTATTTAAATTACATATGCAAGTTTGGGGTGTTTATCTCACATCCCATCAAACTTTGGGGTATTTTTATTATTTTTCCCTTTGCACAGAGTGCAAATTCAAAACAAAAGTTCCATCCCAAATACAAATCATTCTATGTTGTCACTTTATCCTCATTTTGACAACCCAAATATACAATTATGGAGAACCAATAAATGAGTTAAAAAAAACGAAAGAAAAATTATGTTCTACTAGAATACCCTTCTCTACAAAATCAAGTTGACGACCAACAAAAAGTTACCAACATATCTCATATATTGCCTAAATTGTGACAAAATAAACCGATCAAGAGTTGCAATATTTTTCTTAACCTTAAATACATTTATCGTGAATAATTGAAAAAGGTTTTTGGCCCGATAAGGATTAAAGATTTTATATCTAATTTTTATCATCTTATTGAAAACTAAATTTGCATGTTTTGGTTTCTTCTCTAATTGTGCATCTTTACAAAGAATCGCTTGAGGACAAGCAACACTCAAGTGAAATGATTTGATAGCCGTTATATTTACTATTTACTTATGTTTACATAAGTATTTATAAGTATTTTTTGAAGAAAAGGAGAGAAATTGGGAAAATACCTTCAAAATGAGAGCTAGAGCATAAAACATTGCGATGAACAACTTTTTGGACCAGGAAAATGACGTTGTTCTCATGCTTGAGATATAATTTATATATTGTAGCGAATTCCAAATGACTAAATTCAAATTTCATGTGAATTATAATTCAATAAGCTACAAATATTGTGAATACGTCATGACCATAATATGAAAGGATCAAGACCTAATCATCATCAACTAATAAATCAGATTTTGTTGGTGAGATTTCAGGATGCATACCTCTCACTGTTTTATACATAACTTATGATTGGATGATTTGAATCACTTAATTCAAATTTTGATGGATATAAGACTTCATTATCTACAACGTTGGTGAATGAATCATGTCCAAATAAGTAACGAAAATAAAGATATTGTATCAGGCGCTGGTTAGTCTACAACTGGCGCCGGGTCGGATGTTGAATTTGCAAAATACGCCACTGTAATCGACCGGGCCGGTCATTTGATGTAACCGGTGCCGTTCGGACCAGTTTCCTCTGAAGAAAGACCACAACAGGAGCCGTTCACATGCCCAACCGGCACCGGTCATCGTGATTTCTTTACAAAACAGCAGAATATGCTGAAACATTGTGAAGAGATGTGAAGATTTAGAGGTTGAGAGCTAAGAAATTTTCTTTAATCTGATTTTTGATCGTGAATAGACTATAAGATGTCAATCTTTAGCTTATATAAACCCCCATTTCCATCCCTTAATCATCACTCATCCCATAGTTTTAATTCATAGCTTTTATATTCTGTTCATGCTATTTTCTTCAAGTTCTTGAGGGAAGATTATCCTCCAAAATCATTTGTGTCTAGGTATTATTTCCTTTGCAATTTTAGATTCATTCACATTTAATTTTTGTATTGTGATTGATGAGCATTAGAGACTTATTCATTAGCTAAGGCTTGGGGCGAACCTCTATGCTCACTAGATGTTTGATAAGAGTTTTGAACCACTAAATTGTGATTTATCCTTTACACTTTGATTGTTTATGACTATGGTGTACAACATAGAAGTATGTTAAACTTAGTTTGTGCTTGAAACTAACGTTGAGGTCTAAACTATGAACACTAAAGGATAAACATATATAGTACCAAGAATAGAAATATATCCGGTCTTATATGATACAAGTGTGCTATCTTAATTGATATTCAACAGAGGTTTTAATAGATGAATGTAAGTCTTAACAAGACTTACACGTAATGAAAACAATGATCTCGCTATCTTAACTGGAGTTGGGAATATATTAGCGACATTGTATTCATAATTATTGGGAAAGAAGTATTACGAAACCCTATTAAAGCATTTAAGTGAATCTTGATTGCCTTAGTAATCTTTATTCTTGTTTAAACCAATACCAAATCCCTGCAATTCAATATCAAATATATACTTTGTATATGAATCTCGAACTTTATAATATCAACCATTTCCATGTAGATTGACCCGGTATTTACGTATTTTATTACTACATCGACACTTGTATACTTACAAGTTTAGCCCGATCAAATATAAATATAAACGTAAACGTAAATATAAATATAAGTATAAATATGAAAAGGGTTAGGCTCCCGGGTTTGGGCTCCCCGGGAGGAGGAAATATGGGTTGGGCTCCCAAGTTTGGGCCTAAGAGGCCTAATTACAATGATGAGTCACTAAGTGGCTGTTATACGAAGTAAGCTATGCAAATAAGTATACAATGTAAATGATATTTGGTACATGTTCATGCCGAGGTGACAAGGCCCAGGTTTCCTGGACGAGGTGACTATTCTTGAGCGAAGCTGTTGGGTTCATATCCTGATCTCACCGTTTATGGAAACCCAGTGTAGTTGGGCTCATTTGGCCTAGGGGGGCAACCAAGGTGGGTAATCTAGTAGCCGCAAGGACATTAGTGTATCCATGAGTATGCGGGCCGTGGATTCGGGCTCATATTCTCTATCAGGAGTCCCCCACACTCTGAGTCGAGAGGTGTCGAGGTGAGAGGGAGTAGAGCATCCGTGACTTGTGGCTTTGTGATTATCAGGTTTTGTGTGTTTTGATGAGGCGTGAATGCTTCTAGACAATGTGCCTTGTTAGTTGCAGCTTGCGATTTTGTGTTTTGGCCGAGGCGTAGTCCTTCAGTCCCCAACTCCTTCAGACTGAGAGATGCTTTCAGGTTGAGGAGTAGATAACCTGGTCAGAGCCGAGGTGGCACATGCGAATTGGCCGGGAATCCAATCTCTTTGACGAACCTCGATTAAGGAAACTCCGTAGGAGAATCCTTGGACGAAGGTGCTGACCAGAAACCCTCACCGACGGTCGCGACTCGAGGTGTGCACTTGTACATTTTTTATACATGTGGATAAGGCTGAGGCGTAACCTTTTTGGAGCCGAGATGTGGCTGTATGAGGGTGTGTTGTTCACTACATAGTGACCTGTGACTGGGTTGCCTGTTGTCTATTGCGGTTTTATCCCGAGAAGTGTGCCTGGCCGAAGCAGTGTACGTTGTTTGCCTGGCCGAAGCGGTGCAGGTTGATTGCAAACTGTCGTGTTTCTTTTGGCATAGGACAAATGTCAACTCGTGATTGGTTGGTTCGGTGGTGGCCGCTTGGAGGTAAAAGTCATGTTAGTATTTTTTGTAATATTTTTTAAAACTGGCCCTCTTTCACGATTTCATCCATAACTTCTCTTTTAATATTATGTATATTCAAAACCAAATTTTAATGTGAAAACTACTAAATGAGCTCTGAAAGATGAACAATCATTGTTTATTTCGCAACTTCTGCTAATTATATAATATTTCAAAAACTTCATAGCATGTATGACTCTTCAGTATTATCCCCAAATTCAGTGGCGGGTTCAAAGTGGGGCAAGTGCCCCCTTCCCCCCAAATTTTCTTTTCACTAGGTATAATTACTCCAAAATTGTAATATACGTAGTATGTAATAATATGTATTTTTCTACACTACTGCCCCTCTTATGGGGTTTTCCTGTGTCGGCTGCTGCCCACATTGTTTGCACAATCTGCCCATACGTCAATCTCGTTTTGTATTATGAATTGGCAACGAAGTGCTTTTTCCATCTTACATTTGGCGTTTTATATTCGTCTCCAATTATTTCCAACTTCAACCCTTCTCACATAAATTAAGTAATCTCCATTAGCTTCTTTCATAGTTTCGTCTTCAATAGAAATGTAATTGGGATGACCATTTGACCAAGTACATAGATTAAGTAATCTCCATTTTACCATTTCATCACAAGCATCCATTTTCTTTGAGCTGACTTTATCACCCGGTACAGTAATAAATAAACGCATCTAGTCCAAACACTAATCAATAAATGCAAATGAGGTGATGCATTCCAATACACTAGTAAGGTATGATGGGAATGCTGCAACCTCTCACAAATATTCTCTGTCAACGTCATAGACAGACAGTGCAGTGCGCATGAACAAAGACCCTTCTAGCTAATCCTGAAACATTCCTTCATCTGACAGGCTAGAAGATTCAGTACCATTGACATGAGGTTGGGTGGAAAGATTCTCACTTGAGTCACTTAGTAGGATACTGTAATAGAAGTCATCATCGTCATCACTGTCTCCGTCTTCACCCAATTTGTCGCCCACCTTCTCCACGACCCCTTGAGCTTCCCTCTGCATTTGCTGCTTCATGGAATCCTCATACGACATTTCAGACAGAACAGTACCATTTCCGATTATTGATTTATTGTGGGCATTTGTAATCCGCTCCTGCTTACTCTTTTCTGAATTTTTAGGTTCTCCCCAATAGTCATACTGATACAGTGGGCTTTCAGGATCATACTGATCCTTCCGTAAAATGCTAGGATCAACATACCTCCCAGGCTCTTGCAGTGGAAGCCCAAGTGCGTAACGGCTGCAAGGGCATTCACAAATTTGAATTACTAGATGAAAATGAAGATGATTGATTGGGACACCAAATTTAATGAGACGCAAAATTAAGCCTGTGAACAACCTTGAGATGGGGGGGGGAGGGGGGAGGCATACCCATTACTCCATGAGTTGCTTAAAACTATGAATGTAACGATTGTTTTGTCCACAAGGGAGAATCCATAAACTTGATCTCAAGTCTCAACCATGGTTTAAAAGGTCGCTTAAGAGGCGGGTTTTGAGGCGCGCCTCAAGGTGAGACATACAAATTGGGTATCAGTTTTTTTTTTTGCAGGTTAAAAGGTTTACGTCTCAAAAGTTGAGGCGTACGCCTTGAGGCGCGCCCTGAGGCATTTTTTAAGGCGTTTTCATTTGTTTCTCTGTTTTTAATGTGCAGTAACTTAAAAAAAGCCCAAGGCCTTTCATTTAATGAAAGGCCCAGAGTACTTTTTAAATAGAAGTCCATTAATTAAACATGTGGCCACACTAAACCCTAACAAGTCTTATTTCACTTAAACCCTAACAAGTATTTTATTCATTTAAACCCTAAATCCTTAACGTATACTTTCTATTTATCTTTAAGTTTGCATGTGATGTTGCTGTGTGTGATATGTCTGTTTGTGTGTTTGAATTCTAATGACTTACTGGTATTGGCTCATACTGTCATACATGTTTGTGTTTCACACTTTTTGGACTTCACACTTACTGGTATTAGCTCATATGGATATATCCTTTACTTCTTTAGTTGTTAGTTACTAATTTAACTATTTTGAGTTTTATATGTCCATATATTTTGAGGCTTACGCCTCAATACGCCTCAAGACTTGCACCTCGCCTCTTAGGAACAAACCGCCTTGATACCCGAACCCGCCTTTTAATGGTAATTAAATGAAACAGCACTAATTCCAACGGATGACCCATTTTGTTTTCTGTGTTTATGTTAAAACAAAGAACAAACATACAGACACACAAAACAAAGAATATATACAGACACACACAAAGTATATACACACATTTTCTATGTTTAAGTTAGAACTAAAAACAAAGAATGACAACTCCGTCCTTTTCTTCCCTTTCTGTATTACAACTTATCCTCCTTTTCTACACTTAATAACATTTTTGTGTGTGAATGTATATAGTCTAATACAATATGTTGGGTGAACCTTGAAAAGTATTTATTTAATTTAAGTTCTGCTAAGAAGATTGTTTACACAAATGCTTTGACAAAGAAAATAACCAAGTGAAGAATTTAGTATGTACTTAAATATTGAGTCTGCTATATTAAAATTGGGTTCCTCTTGCTTTGAAATTAGATTCCTGAAACCAAAACTAGTAGGATAGGGATTATCATACTTGCACAAGTCACACTTCACTTTGACAAGCAACAACATATAATAAAATCACCAAATCATCTATCCTAACGAGAAATGGATTAATTTATGTGATTTATTAGGTTCTTTCTTCTTTGTTGTGATCTTCCTGACCTTGTGAACAAATAATCTGTCCTGTATCATAGTAATACATGTCCTGTTTCCCTTCATTCCTGGGAGAGTGGTGCACTACTGCACTGGTGAGGTTTGCTTTAGATTTCTTCCCAAGAGAGATAGGGTTATCTACAAGAGAAAAGAATAATACCAGCTAATATCTCGGATAAGAGCCTCTCTTTCCTCCACTGATCGACGCCAATGGATGAAGTCATATTCATCCATTTCAACATTACGCCTCAACTTGGTAATTTTGTATTGCTCTCCTCGTCCCTTCGCTTCTTTACTCATCTTAATATGATGCTGCATTATGAAAGAAAACAAGCAAAATGCAAATTAAGTACCAAGTAATAATCCATTTAACATGAACACAATTTGCCTATTACATTCCATCTACATATTGGATATATTTTCCCTGCAAACACTTACTAAATCCCTCCCAATTTGGGAGTCCCATTTCGTATTACAAAGTTTGACTGAAGTTAAAACTAATTCTCCTCTTTTTTTTTACTAATTCTCCTCTAATATTATTGAAAAGGTATTAATAGTTCAAGTTTGCATAGTTGACGTTACACAAAGTTCTATTGAACCACAAAAAAATCAAAACTCAAATTTAAATATGATTAACGCTGATTCAGAAAATTAGAGAATAAAAGAGAGCTAAGTTGATGCATAATAGTGAATGAGACCTTTGAATTGGAATGGAGGGAGTATTAAAAGTTTGTGAACCATATGAACTGATTTTTATTAATACGAAACTCGATAATAAAGATCTATACAAGTGGGTATATTTATAGCTATAATTGAGGCGCTAGGGTTTCTATACAAGTTGGGCAAGGCCTAATATAACTGATCATTTAAATTATATACACCAAGCTTGTTACAAATATATTTCATTATAGGTCCTCTAAGAGAGTTGGTTAATACATCTGCAAGTCGGTCTTCCATTTGATAGAATTTGTGATTATTTGGCCGTTTGTAATTTTCTCTCGGATAAAGTGACAATAAACCACATTATGTTGACGCTCCGACCCGACAGAGCGTATGGGAGGTTGTAAATCACGGTGACTCAACCAATCCTAACGTTCTAGACCTTATACTCGTGTGCACCAGAGGCTCAACCCAACACAAAGGAGCTGTGATATACATGATTTGAAGCAATGCGCGTTGCAACTTAATTGTCACACATTAGTTTGACGGGTTTCACGCTTCCATATTTTAACTCATGGAAGACATGTTTCAATCATAAGAAATTAAGCATCTTGTTTCCACCAATTAAGCACTAGATCCGATGACCACATCTTGTTTTTTATTTTTCAAAGAAATTAATTTCCAGTTTCCACCAATCAAGATGCAGTATCGGGAAGTAGGATGTCTATCCATCAAGCATCCCACAATTTCATAGTGACCTCGATCTTCGAAGAGCAATCCTTGCCCTAATGTTTATGTATGTGACATCAAGACTCGGATAGCTACATCCCAATGTCCATCACATGGCTTATCAATAAATTGACTTAGTACTTACCGCAAATGAAATATCTGATCTCGTGATTGTAAGACAATTCAACATTCCAATCAGCCTTCTATATCCCTCCTTATTAGGCCAAAGGTCACCCTGATCTCATAAGAGTTTGACACTTGGATCCATTGGTGTTTCCACCGGCCTGCACTTTGTCATACTTGATTCTTTAAGAATGTCAAATGCATATTTCTTTTGAGAGAGGGCGGTCCCGTTTCTGGATTGGGCGACCTCAACACTAAGACTGTATTTTAGTATCCCCAAATCTTTTTTGGAATTTGCTAAAGAGATATTCTTTGAGTTGGCAAACTGCTTCTCAAAAGAATCAGTAGATTTACTGCAAGAAGTGTGGCAAATTCCATCTATGGATTTGTACAGAGAGTCAAATATATAGCAAGATGGTGTCAGGTATTTTACTTCTTCCTAATTTCTATCATTTGCAATGGAGCCAAAGACTCACTATTTTTTGACTTGGAAATATGATGGAATAAAGGCTCACTAAACTGTTTGTGACGCTTCTTTGTCTGTGACGATTTCCACTATGGGTCATCCGGAAATAATCTCTTTGTGCTTTAATACAGGGGCAAGACTGCGTACATTTGACCCCCTCTTACCCCACCGTAGGTGGGAACCTTTGTGACACTGGGATAATGATGATGATGAATTCCTTGATCATCATTACGTGAAATAACAATGTCATCAACACATATACTACTAGCAAGATACATTTATTTCCTCTTGAATGTCCAAAGAATATTAAATGATCAACATCATTCCAAGTCATTGCCAAATCCGCGAACTACAACACTAAACCTCCCGAATCATGCATGAGGAGATTGTTTATATAAAGAATAGCGTAATCTGCGCCCTAAACAAGGCTCCCCTAAGCAACAAAACCAGATAATTGCTCCATGTAAACCTCCACAAGTAAATCAACATAGGAAATGCATTTTTATTGTCCAATTGATATAACGGCCAAGGGCTCATTGTGCCCATGGATAAGATCAAATGACCTAATGTGTATCTATGTTAGAGGAGAAAGGCATCAGTGTAGTCTATACCTTACTTTTCTATGTATCCATTTGCAACCAGACGTTCTTTAAGCCAGTCAGTTTCCCATCTGGACCAACTTTAACCGTATATATCCACCGGCATCCAACAAGTCATTTCCTGCTACGAAGGGGAATTAAATCCATGTCCCACTAGAATATAGTATTAAGACTTGGTGTCATGAGAAAAGGTGTTGGTGTAGTCTAAACCTTAGATCGTTGTGCATCTGTTTGCAACCAGATGTTCTTCAAGCCAGTCAATTTCCATCCTAAAAGATCAACACACTAGGAGTAGCCCACAACCCTATACAGGTGATTTGTATTTTCATATGCGGGCAGTGTGGGATAACTGTTAGCTATTATAAATTTACTCGTACGCGGACATGGTTTTGGCACTAGAAATGAAGCGGGAAAGAACATTTTGGATTTTGCCTCGACGTATGAGTTGGCTATAATGAACATTTGGTTTAGGAAAAGAGACTCTCACCTTGTAACCTATAGAAGTGGAGCTAATAGTACCCAAATTGACTACTTCTTAGTACTGACTACTTGGAGAACTAGCTACACCGATTGTAAGGTTATCCCAGGTGAGAGTTTTGTCACTCCGCATAGGATGCTTGTGCTTGACTTTCGAGGTAAGAACCATAGAAGACAAGTTAAGCAACAAGTGGAGCCAAAGATAAAGTGGTGGAGGCTTGAGGGGGATCTTCAACAAAGCTTTACACACAAAATGTTCGGTAAAGATGTATGGCGTATTGATAATGGAACACATGTGGAGGATGCGTGGTTATCAATGGAGCTGACCAGTAACAAAGTGGCAAAGGAGGTACTTGGAGAATCTAAAGGAGATCTGCCACCCAAAAAGGACACGTCTTGGTGGAATGATGAGGTGAAACAAGCCATAAAGAACAAAAGAGATTGCTACAAAATGGTGGGGACAAGTCGGAGTGATGAGAACATAGAAGCATACAAGGAGGCTAGAAGACAAGCAAAGAAAGCCGTAAAGTAAGCACAAGGGAAAGCGAACAAGGAGTTGTATGAAAAATTGGACTTTAAGGAAGGAGAACAAGATATCTATAGACTTGCTCGTCTTCGTGATCGCATGACTCAAGATATCAGAAAAGTTAAGTGTGTGAAGGATATCGATCAAAGGATGTTAATGGAGGACAAAGAGATAAAATAGAGGTGGAGGTCATACTTTGATACATTGTTCAACGGGAACAAAGTGCAAGATATCGGTGATTTGACCATACCGGATTGTATCGTAAATCGTGATTTTGTGAGAAGGATCCAACCAACGGAAGTTAAAGAGACTCTGAGGAAGATGGGGCGGAAGAAAGCAGTGGGTCCAGATGGCATACCGATCGAGGCTTGGAGAAGTTTGGGAGAGAGAGGCATCGGGTGGTTAACAAATTTCTTCAACAAGATTTGGAGAAACAACAAGATGGCAACGAGTTGGAGAAAGAGTACTCTTATTCCCTTATTTTTAAGAATAAAGGTGATGTACAAGAATGTGCCAACTATCGAGGGATTAAGCTTATGAGTCATACCATGAAACTTTAGGAGCGAGTGATTGAGCAAAGACTTCAAAGAACAATGAAGATTTCAGAGAATCAATTCGGTTTTATACCTATTCGCTCAACAACTGAGGCTATTCACTCATAAGGATTTGCATTTAGTGTTCATTGACTTGAAAAGGCATATGATAGGGTACCTCGAGAAGTTCTTTGGTGGGCCTTAACTACAAAAGGCATTTCACGCAAGTATATCAGCATCATCATGGATATGTATGAGGTTGTACTACAAGTGTCTGTACTAGTGTAGAGAGGACTGCGGAGTTCCCTATTACTATCGGAGTGCACCAAGGATCAGCTCTGAGCCCTTTTTTATTTGCCATAGTCATGGATGAACTTACAAAGTCAATTCAAGACGATATACCGTGGTGCATGATGTTTGTCGACGATATTGTATTGATTGATGAGACGCAATCAGGGGTTAAAGCAAAGTTGGAAGTATGGCGACAAACATCGGAGGACAAGGGTTTCAGACTAAGTAGAGCAAGAAAGAGTACATGGAGTGCAAGTTTGGTGGAGGTAGAAGCAGTGGTAACAACGGAATTACTTTAGATGGTAAGGAGATATCGGTCAGCGATATGTTCCGTTACTTGGGCTCCATAATTCAGAAGGACGGTGAGTTAGATGGAGACGTATCCCATAGAATCAGAACAGGGTGGATGAAGTGGAAGAGGACGTCAGGATTTCTATGCGATCAAGGTATGCCGACTAGACTGAAGGGTAAATTTTATAGGACATCAATTAGGCCTGCATTACTGTATGGCACGGAGTGTTGGGCGGTGAAACAATGTCACATTCAAAAGATGAGTGTGGCAGAGATGCGCATGCTGCGTTGGATGTGTGGGCATACTAGAAAGGACCGCGTGAGGAATGAGATAATCAGACAAAGGGTGGGAGTAGCACCTATTGAAGATAAGATGCGGGAGTCGCGCCTACGGTGGTTTGGTCATGTGCATAGAAGACTGAGTGATGCACCTGTCAGACGAGTTGAGATGTGTGGAGAAGAGGTAGGGAAGAGAGGGAGAGGAAGGCCCAAACAAATGTGGGTTAGGGGAGTCAGAAGTGATATGCTTCTTCTTGGATTGGATGAGGGTATGGCTTTGAAGAGAGCAAAATGGAGGGCGGGTATTCGTGTGGAGGAGTGATCTTATATCATCTTTTCCCCTCTGTTTTTTATATTTTTATCCTTATATATAAATATTACTTTATCCTTTTTATTTTATCTTTTATATGTATATTCATCTCTTTTATATTATCTTTTATTATAATAGCTTATCTTTTTTATCTTTATTTTGTTTCTTTTCCTTTTGGTGATATCATGTATCGATTCATGTTAGCCGACCCCAATATCATTTGGGACTAAGGCTTGGATGTTGTTGTTGTATATCTATTTAATTGTAATTAGATAACTATTGTACTTAGTCAGGGTTGTTAGCATAGTTTTAGCTTAGATCCTAATTTTAAGGAATTAGTTGTTGTGATGTATTCTATTTAAATTGGCAGTTTATGAATAAAATTTATTCCGCCTAAAGGAGTTTAACTTTCAATAACATAATATGCCTCGCAATATGGTGACTCATTAGAGCAGAGCATACATGTAGTCCATGTGCTCACTGTTGAATCCTACTAGAATCTTATTGCTCATTAGAGCTTAATCGGCTCTGGTACCACATTAAAATTTTAGAGAAGAAATAAAACTAGAGCTGAAATGCTTGATATATTTTCTGGTTTCTACTACTACTACTTATACAATGATTAGGAGCCTATAATAACAGTTACAATATTAATTACAAAGATTGTACCTAAAGATTATGATAACTGAAAATAATATATAACTATTATTGTCTGGGATTTTATATACGCCCTCGCAAGTCAGGTATTCTGTCACTCCCAAGAATTCTGAGTTTATCTCTCACAAGAGTAAAATGTTACCTCGAGAGTGGGTTGATAAGAGCATCAGACAACTTATCTTGAGATGGGATATCAAGGACATGAAGAAGCCCACGTTGTATACGTTGCAGGACAAAATGAAAATCGATGACAACATTTTCCATCATTTACAATGGAGCCAAAGAGTCACTATTTTTTGGCTTGGGAATATGATGGAATAAAGCAAAATGACTCGATAAACTGTCTGTGCTTATCTGTTATGAAGCACGTCCATGCAATTTTCGTCGCGATTTTCATCATGGGTCGTCCGGAAAGTGCTTTAGTGCAGGGGTAAGACTACGTACATCCCACCGTAGGTGAAAGACTTTGTGGCACTGGGGTAATGTTGTTTTTGTTGTATATTTCTATTCTAATGTCCAATATCTCTGTATTTTAACAATGTTTAATAACTTCAATTGAAGCTAAAAGGTTGTTTAAGGGAGGCTAAGGGATAGTAAAATTTCATATACATTATAGGCTCTAAGTTTATTACAAATATGATCAATTCGATGACCACTAAGATCCAGTGAATATAACTGCTAACTGGTTATTTAAACCAATGAATATAATAATGCTCCGTAGGCAACTTTTCAGAGCAATGTGACAATCAACTAAAATATGTTTGTTTCACTCAAAAGAGAAAAGGCTGAAAAGGAGGCATGTAATAAAATGCCAAGGCCGAAGGGAGACCAAATTACACTGATCAGCTAGTATCTAGTAAATATCCTGACCCAGTGTCTAATGTCCTTGAATTTGGTCATATTTATATAAACCATGGTGCTATGACTTGTGCTCCACCTTGACAAGAAATTATGATGAAGTCTATCTAATCAAGGTCAATTTAGTCCGAACCTTTATAGGATTTTCCTACTCATTTTTCCTTGAACCATACTTATAAAGCTTGTAATGAGTTGTATGAAATCATTAAAATGCAATCTTCTCTTAAATTACGTATACTTCTTAGTTGATAGGACACCACACTCTTGCAGTATAAGTAATAATTATACTAAATTGATCTATTTCATTTATGGACACAAAGAGTATCCGGTTTACCACCAACCTGACGCTCAATAAAGGCAGCTTCAACGTCAAGATCATTTACACTTAGTCTCTGTCAAATAATGAGTGAGCATTGGTCAAATAGATTCATCAATGAATACACAAAATGAACTAAATCTTTAATGAGAAAAGTGCATACCACAATTGTTTTTGGAAGTAGAGCTTTCTGATAATAAGTTTCAGTGTACTCAACACGATTATCTTTGTCATACTCCTCGCCATCTGTTAATTCAGTCAACTTTTTGCCCGCATATTTATCAGGATTAGACTCCATATCATCCAAAAGCAATTGTTCAGCATTATGAATCAGCCATAACTGTATTCCAGAAAAATAAAAATACGAGATAGTCAACTTAATTTGCCACAAATTTCCATATTGGGAATATAAATAGAACACTGTTGAACTCTATGGTCGTACTATGAGATGCCTAATTAAGGTTTTGTTCTCTTCAGTTTACCTCCTTTACTTATAACTTATTCTTACAATCTTATTTTACTCGTACCAAAGCAGAAAGATTCAAATTCGACAAAACTAGAGAGTAGAGACATCCAGACCAGATCAGATGTGATCTTTCAGACCAAAAATCAGATTAGATCAGATAAGAACAGAAACACCTAGACCATATCAGAAAGAATAAGACCGGACTAGATCTTAAAAGTTAATGTCGAATCACAATTTTTAAGCAAAGAGAACATGTCCTGAATGATAACTGGGGGTAGCAAAAGTTAGTCTCTAAAGTTGGAAATGTAAAAAAATGAACTAAATATAGGATTACATATTGTGTGGAGGCTTCGGGTTGTAAAGTAAAAAGTGTGACCAAACTAAATGACTATAGGTTCAGTGACAAAATCGTATGAAAATATAACTAACGCTCTTACACTACAACCTTCTGCACATAAGGGTGATTTGATAACAATGGATCTTCTTCCACTTTGATGCCAGGGCTTTTTATAGGAATTGGAGGTCTTCCACTTTCACGCTGCAACATAAGTATGAATCAGAAGTACATATTTGAATAGAGAATAAATACATAGTCGGGCCCTAAAAACATTTAAATCCTACATAGATGACAATGATTGACATTTCAGGTTTGTCAAATAAATTCAAATTTGACAAGAATATCAAACTGTAGGAAAGATTGATGTCCATATTCGGAAGAGTACATTGTAGAGAGCAACATCAGAGTTCTACTTAAACCAGGAAACTGTTGATGATAAAATATGAAAGAGTGCAAACCCTCAAAACTCAAATGCTGAATAACTGATAGAAATGGTGTGCTACACTGTTCTAAGCAAGCTTATGTGAAAATTTTGGCTCGCAAGTCTGAGTCTCTGAGAAGTCATATAGCTCATCAAGTCACAATTAAAGAAGTAACAGGTTAAGTGAATCGAAAGAACCATAGATATTAAATAATTTCATGACTTGTTGCAATTGTTATTTTGATTGATTTCCCTTCCATTTAGTATTTGCATAGGATAATCAACTCTATATATTGACACAACTCTGGACGAATGAGGCATGCAATTGTTCACCCGAGCTATTGAGCATTGCCAAGGGAAAGTCTCAGCTCATTTTCCGGGACTCACCAAGGACGGTCCTTTTCTTCCCTTTCATTATTGCTCGTAAAAAGAAAATCATGCCCTCCCCTGTATGGGGGGCTTGCACTAGCACGCTTAATAGAAAGATGACACATAATGTGCCATCTAGAGCACATTACTAGGTATGCCTTTGTTCTATCATATCAAGCATGTCAACTTTAGTTTCAACTGAAATCTAGAGAACTATGTCTATTTCTAACAAAATTCAGTAAGCAGAAAACACTCCATCTCCCCTTTTTATACTTTCTTTCATGTAAAATCTATAAACACAATATTGGATGCTCTTCCAAGGGAAATTAGTCTACAATTGGAAGTTATATTTCTGATTGATTGGTGGAGAAACGAATGACGTGTATTGTACTTTGTTCGCATAGTACAGTTGCTTACACGTAGCTCATCTGGATTGGTATCTTCTTCCCGGTGAAATATTGGTGCAAAATCAAATCGGTTGAACCTGCTCGCATCAAGGCATATTAGTAAAAAGGACAATTAAAAGTGGTACTTATTACAGTGCAACATAAAGAGATCGGCATAAAGTACTCCATCCATCCCAATTTTTTTTTGATAAATCCAGATAAACTTGTGAATTTGTGATCATCATCATCATCATTACCCCAGTGCCGCAAAGGCTCCCACACCTTCAGTGGGGTAAGGGGGGTTGGATGTACGCAGTCTTACCCCTGTACTAAAGCCCAGAGAGACTATTTCCGGATGACCCATAGTGAAAAACGCGTCGAAAATTGCATGGTCTAACTGCTGCTTCATAATAAAGAAGCGCAGATAGTTTAGTAAGTCATTTTGCTTTATTCCATCACATGCACAAGCCAAAAAATAGTGAATCTTTGGCTCCATTGCAGATGGTGGATTTGTGAATTTGTGATGCATTTGCAAAATTTTACCTCAAAATAGGACTCACACAAATTATGAAAGTTAGTGAAGTGGAAAAGGTATAAAACTATTGATGTTAGAATAGGAACGTAGATATTATTTGGGATAGACCAAAAGGGGACGGGGAGAAAAATGCCCAAAAAGGAGTTATTTTTTGAGTCAAAAAACAGATAGATACACCCACATAACTTTTAATTAGGACATCTGAAGTCTATGGTTTTACTCTTCGGCTCCCTCTTTGTGGTAAAAATGACACTCACTCATGGAATGGATCTTGAACGTAACAAACAAGCTTTGCCCTTTTTATAAAAACAACAAAAACATTAATTTCTAACATATTCAATCTGAAAACATTAATTTCTAACATATTCAATCTGAACAGGAATATCATTTACATACTTCTTCAACTACATTCAATAGTTGAAAAAACTAACACCCTACATATAATAAAATATTGTTAAGCATTGTGTGAAATTATAGTATTACCTTGAGTTCTTCATACAAAAGTTCAAAACTGCCAAACATATAAAATCGAGCTAAAAAGAAGCAACACTGTGTTACATTTTTGCAATAGTACTTTGATTAAGTTTTGCATTTTACCAAACAACGAGGGTCCAAGTGTTATTCTTGTGAGGGCTCAACTAGACTGCTATTGATATACACAGAGAGATGCATATTATTCGTTAGATCAAATAAATCTTACGTCAGGTGATCTATATTTGGATCAACAAACCGCATCTCAATTGGGAACCGAAACCGGTATGGATCTCTTTTTACCTGTGACAGGAAGAAATCACATAATAGCACATGTATAGATTACCAATTTCAATAGCACATAATTTTTTAAATACCATAACCAGCGATAAGAATTTTTAAGAATAAATAAAGTTAAAATGAAAATCAATACAGAACGTAGATATTATGAAAATGATCACCCGTGACTGTATTCAACAAACAACATCCAAGCCTTAATCCCAAAAGATTTTGGGGTCGGCTAACATGAATCGATCATGTTGATTGGCATTATTAACATTAAGGTAACTTACCAAAAGTTCAACAATGACATGCATGCCAACATTGATATGATGTCGAATCCAGAACCAGTCATTTCTCTTGATAGGAACCCACCTGAAACGCAATTTAAAGTATCAAATAAATGTTAACATAAAATTTAATGTTGCATCATGACTTTCAAACAAATGAATGAAGCCCAAATATCATGTCAAAGCACTGTAGAATAAGTCAAAGTTGTTAGAAGTTTGTTGCTATAGTCAAGGATTAAGTTGTAACTAGATATTGTTATCTTACCCCTTTTTGTACGATCAGTTATTAGTATTGTATTATAAATATACCAATTAATGGAGCAAATAATCATCTGGCTCAATTATATTCACCTTAACAGTATGAGAGCCTCTACCCTAGGAAAACCATGGTCGATCCCCAGACCAACTCAAAAAACTCGAGTTCAACGAGTGATCCCACTCACTCGCTTGGCGCTCCATCCTTCTCCACTTCTGAGCCCATTCAAGGCTTGTCGGTAATTTGTCAAAAATTAAATAGAAGAAACTTTCTTCAATGGTCTCAACCTGTCAAACTTTTTATTCTAAGGGCAAATTTGGCTATATCTCTGGCCTTGTATCCAAACCCCCAGCTTTCGATAAACTCTATGATAGTTGGGAGGCCAAAAATTCAATGGTGTTATCATGAATGATAAACTCCATGGAATCCGACGTGGGCCGCACTTATCTCTTTCTTCCAACTGCTCGTGATATTTGGACAATTGTGAAGGAAACCTATTACGATTTAGGCAATGCTGGGCAATTATTTGAGCTGAAAAACTGCCTTAGAACAGCCATACAAGGTGAGAAACCTGTCATTCAATTCTACAACAACAACAACAACAACATCCAAACCTTAGTCCCAAAAGATATTGGGGTCGGCTAACATGAAAAAATACATGATATCACCACCAAAAGGAAGAGAAAGAAAATAAAGATAAAAAGATAAGCTATTATGGAAAAGATAATATAAAAAGAGATGAATATACCTAAAAATGATAAAATAAAAAGGATAAAAATAATATTTATATATATAAGCATAAAAGGATAAAAAAACAAGAAAAAAAAAGAAAAAAATTAGGGGAAAAGATAATACGAGATCACTCCTCCACACCTCCACATGAATACCCTCACTCCTCCACTTTGCTCTCTCCAAAGCCATACCCTCATCTAACCCAAGAAGAAGCATGTCATTTCGGACTCCCCTAACTCACATCTGTTTGGGCCTTCCTCTCCCTCTCTTCCCTGCCTCTTCTCCACACATCCCAACTCGTCTGACAAGTGCATCACTCGATCTTCTACGCACATGACCAAACCACTGTAGGCGCTACTCCCGTATCTTGTTTTCAATAGGTGTTACTCCCACCCTTTGTCTGATTGTCTCATTCATCACGTGGTCCTTCCTAGTATGCCCACACATCCAACGCAGCATGTGCATTTCCGCCACACTCATCTTTTGAATGTGCCATTGTTTCACCGCCCAACACTATACGCCACACAGTAATGCAGGCCTAATTGTTGTCCTATAATACTTACCCTTCAGTCTAGTCGGCATACCTTTATCGTATAGAAATCCTGACACACTCTTCCACTTCATCCACCCTGTTCCAATTCTATGGGATACATCTCCATCTAACTCACCGTCTTGCCCAAGTAACTAAACATATCGTTGATCGGTATCTCCGTACCATCTAGAGTAATTCCGCTATTACCACTGCTTCTCCCTCCACCAAACTTGCACTCTATGTACTTTGTCTTGCTTCGACTTACTCTGAAACCCTTGTTCTCCACGGTATTTCGTCTTGAATTGACTTCGTAAGTTCATTCATGATTATGGCAAATAAGAAAGGGCTCAGAGTCGATCCTTGCTGGACTCCGATAGTAATAGGGAACTCTACAGTCCTCCCTACACTAGTACAGACACTTGTAGTACAATCCTCATACATATCCATGATGATGCTAATATACTTGCGTGATATGCCTTTTCTAGTTAAGGCCCACCAAAGAACTTCTCGAGGTACCCTATCATAAGCCTTTTCTAAGTCAACGAACACCAAATGCAGATCCTTGTGAGCGTCTCTATACTTCTCCATAAGTTGCCAAAGAAGGTGAATGGCCTCAGTTGTTGAGCGGCCAGGCATAAAACCGAATTCATTCTCTAAGATCTTCACAGTTCTTCGAAGTCTTTGCTCAATCACTCGCTCCCAAAGTTTCATGGTGTGACTCATAAGCTTAATCCCTTGATAGTTGGCACAATCTTGTACATCACCTTTATATTCTTGAATTAGGGGATAAAAGTATTTGTAACACCCCGGCCCCGCAGGCCCCGAGGTAGTTACTCCAGACCTCTAGTACTGTCCTCACAAACCGCCACTAGTCTTTTCCGCGCACTTTGTCCTCACTCGTGCGCGCCCTGAGAAACTTCCCAGAGGGTCACTCATCCCAAGACTACTTCCGTGCAAGCACGCTTAACTTTGGAGTTCTTAGCTAATGAGCTCCCTTAAAAGGAGATGCATCTTGTTGGTATGAGTAGTACTATTAATCCGTTTAAATTAAATCTCAAGTGTTACACTACTCTTCCTCCAACTCATTGGCATCATGTTGTTTCTCCAAATCATGTTGAAGAAACTTGTTAACCACTCGACGCCTCTCTCTCCCAAACTTCTCCAAGCCTCGATCGGTATGCCATCTGGACCCACTGCTTTCTTCCGCCCCATCTTCCTCAGAGCCTCCTTAACTTCCGTAGTTTGGATCCTTCTCACAAAATCACGATTTACCATACAATCTGGTATGGTCAAATCACCGATATTTTGTGCTTTGTTCCCGTTGAATAGTGTATCAAAGTATGCCCTCCACCTCTCTTTTATCTCCCCGTCCTCCATTAGTACCCTTTGATCGACATCCTTCACACACTTAACTTTTCCGATATCTTGAGTCATACAGTCACGAAGACAAGCAAGTCTGTAAATATCTTTTTCTCCTTCCTTAGAGTCCAATTTTGTATACAATTCTTTGTTCACTTTTCCTCTTGCTTCCTTTACAGCTTTCTTTGCTCTTTTTCTAGCCTCCTTGTACTCCTCTATGTTCATCGCTCCAACTTTTTCCCAATTTCTTATAGTATTCCCTTTTGATCCTTATTGCTTGTTTTACCCCATCATTCCTCCATGATGTGTCCTTTTTTGGTGGTAGACATCCTTTAGATTCTCCAAGTATCTCTTTCGCCACTTTGTTAAAGGTGAACTCCATTGATAACCACACAACATCCACATGTGCGTCATTATCAATGGACCATACATCTTCTGATATGAAGCGGGAAGAGCATGTGGCGGGACCGGACTTGGGCCCACTTCCGTGGGCCGGTTACGGGCTGTTTAACTAATATTTATTATTCCTTTTATTTTGTTTCCTAATTTAATTTGTTTCCTAGTAGGATTTATTTAGGACTTCTATTCTTACTAGAATTAGAGGTTTCCTATTTCTATTTAGTTTCCTAGAATGATTTAATTAGGAGTTCTATTAGAACTAGAGGTTTCCTATTCTATTTAGTTTCCTAGAATAATTTAATTAGGATTCCTATTCTTATTAGACCTAGAGGGTTATTTATACCCCTTGTATGCTTCATTCTTGATAATCTTGGAATAAAAGTTTGGTTTAGCCTTTTGGCTCTGGGCAACGGTATTAATTTATCGTTGATTATCTGGGCAACGGTTCACCCCGTTGATTTTACTTTTCTGTTCTTATCAATTGGTCCGACCTGCCGGATCCCCGTCCCGCAAGATGACAAGAACTCAGAACGAACGACTGACGGAATTGGAGGCCGAACAGGCCCTGGTCAATCAAAAGCTCGATTCACAAGGAGAGAAACTGGATGTACTGGCTCGGAAACAGGAGGAGCAGGCCGCCCGGCTTGCGGAAATCGCAGAATCCCTGGCAGCAATCGCAAAGGCCATGGTACCGCCAGCGAAGTCTCCAAGCACGACCATCGAGAGCGGCTCCTCCGCCCACATCGCGACTGCTTTCACCGACGAGGGCGGACCGCGCAGCGCATCCACGATACTGCTTCCCTCATTCGACGGTGAAGACCCAATTGGGTGGCTGGCAAGAGTGGAGCAGCAGTTCGAGCTCAACAGGACCCCACCGGATAGACAAATTGCAACGGCTAGGGTTTCTATGGAAGGGGCAGCCCTCTATTGGGTGACATGGTTAAAGGCGCGCAAACCCGGCATATCCTGGGAGGAATTTAAGCAAGCCTTGGTGGCTAGATTTGATTCCCGATATCAAGGAAACAGATTTGAGCGGCTATCTGGCGTTAAACAAATTGGGCAAGTGGAAGATTACAATACTTTGTTTGTACAACTCGCCAGTCAAGTACCTGGATTAACTGACGATCATTACTTGGGCTATTACATGAGTGGGCTTAAGGAGATAATCCGAAGCTCGCTGCGATTACTTCGGCAAAACGGCCTGGAGATGGCTATGGAATTAGCTCGCGAAGTGGAGTATAATCTGTCCGTCCAAAGTGGAGAAAGTGGCAGCCTGAATTATCATTCTTCAGGGGTACGTTCCAGCAGTTTTGTAAGGGCAAACACGGGTCCCCCGTTGACTGCCACCGGTGGCAGCTTACAGGGCTCAGGGGGCAGCTTTGCGAAGGATAGTGGACAGCCTCCGGGGACAAAGTCAGGGCTGTCTGGGCAGCCTACGACACGATCCCAGTTCACCCGTCTTGCGTCAAAAGAGTTAGCAGATTTGAGGGCAAAAGGATTATGCTTTAGATGCAAGAAACCATTCACGCCAGGGCATGATTGTCCCTTTAAGCAGCTGCGGGTAATGATAGCCGAGGAGGATGAAGAGTTGGACCTCAAGCAGCATGAATTCTGCGAAATAACCGGCCAGGAAAGGGTTCATGAAGGAGAAGAAGGATATTTTCCAGTCTATACTATGTTTATGTCTGGAAATTTCAGCTCCCAATCAGCGAGTTTTCAACCTTGAGGACAAGGTTATTTTAAGGGGGGTGGATTGATATGAAGCGGGAAGAGCATGTGGCGGGACCGGACTTGGGCCCACTTCCGT